ACAATCTTGTGCCAACCCGGCAGACTCCAAAATCTGCATACAAGAATCTGGAAGCCGTTGTCCGCGTCGTGGATTTGGCCAAGTCTGAGGGCAGATTAGCTTGTACCGATTGACAAATCGATCATAGGGCATGCGATGGGCAAATCCGGCACGTCGAACCCTCACGTTTTCCAGGAGACCCAGGTAGCGGACCTGATGCTCCACTCTTTCCAAATCGAAAATATTCGAGCTCTTCTCCTCGTTTGGTTTGATACATCTGATGTAGTGTGGCTCCTTCTGGGCTAATTGTTTTACAAGATCACTCATAGAATTCTTAAACAGGAATCCAGCCGTTGGAGGACGACGGTTAACCTCGGCCATGGATTTTGAGCCGTCAGGGAACAAGCTTTTGATCAGACGATTTTTGCTGAAATTTCGAAATTTGAAAATGCTTAAAATGAGACACCAGCCTCTTCGGTTTACACCTATACCCACCTATGATACAGTAATCTCTTCAAATCTTGGAACAAAGTATCCTTGTTCTTATCCATGAATCCCATCACCGAATACGTGACGTCACCAGCATAATGAGTGATTCGGAACTCCTCGAATCCCATGGATTTGTCACTTTGTTTCAGGTTTCTACTGGTATAGTGTTGATGGGTCTTCAGTTTTTTGTCCAACTCTCCAAGGAACACTTTGTCTGTGACGTTTCCAATACTGGCACATGCTTCGTCAAGGATGGATAAGATTCCTGTTCGAGGGACTTCTACGAGGTCACAGATGATCTGAAAATTGAATTTTTTAAGTTTCTTAGGTTGCAAATTTTTTTGATGGAGCCATTTAGCAGTTAGAGAACTAGAGACGTAGACAGTCGTCCTGAATTTAGCGCGCTCCATTAGACAGCTACCGTAAACCGCGTAAAACTCAATAACCAATTTAGCTAACAAAAAGTTGTCCATTAAAAAATGTGGCCTATAAAACTTTGGACAATTTGTTATTTTATCATTTTTAGTAGGTCAACTCGGTAGAGAGCTAGAGACGCAACAGAGAGGCAATCTTAAGATCTATGCAGCCTACCCCTATGAGTGCAATTCGAGCTCAATTATCTCGGTTTCTTCAAAAATATTTATAAATTTTTATTTGATAAATTATTTATCATAAAATCACAAATATTTTATCAGTTGACAAATTTTTGATATCTTCTATAGGAACTGAGATAATGGAGCTCAACGTTTGTAGACCACCACTCTACCAATAAGCTATTTCATTACTCACGTCCACTTTACATAATTACCCTCACCACTTCCTTCCTCTAATTACCTTATTATTGAAATAATCAATTTTGACCCATTTAATTCCCTCTCGTTCGTACTCTTCTTGCTCCTGCTTCAACACCAATTCGATAAACAATTGTTGCAATTTCTCATTGCAATAGTTGATGCATAATTGCTCGAAACTAAAAATTCTTTGAATTTTAAAGGGACAGGGACCAAAAAGTATTACCTATTAGTTCCAAAGATCTCAAAACCATAAATATCGAGGACTCCAATCACATGAGATTTGCTGTAGCAGGAGTTGTTCTGAACGCTGATCGCCTCGTTGATCTTTGACACAACCCAGGAGAAAAGGCGTTCGTAGAGAGCCTAAAACTGTCTGTCTGTGTTTCCAGATGTCTTTTTTTCACCCACTTTTGCCAACGCATCTCTAGTATAGTACGCAGCATTCACATCATGCTGCTTCTTGACAATATCTCCATGGGCGGCCACAACTTGGGAGGATAAACTTTTCGAAAGCTCATCTGGAGTCACATTCAGGCATCGTGCTGCATTCTGCAGAGCGGCTTTTTCAGAGATATGGACAGCTCCAGACGAGTTGTCTCCATCGATAAACTTCACGTTGCCCAGATGGATTAGGCCAGCAATCACGGACCACATCTGAAATTTTTGGCTTATATATGTTCAGTGTATCCTTTTTTGAAACTGTTCTAGAATTTTTGGTGGTTGCCTGACCTTTTCAATTTGGGTTATCTAGGCTGTCATTTTAAAATGGCCTAGAAACGGTCTAATATGCCCCTGATGGGTTTTCTATGTCATTGTAACGTGGTGGTCTAACTTCGGCAAGTTGGATTATCTAGACCACCACTTTTTTTGGCCTGAAATACGTCTCATACTTATCTGCTATCTTTCTAGGTCATTTTAACGCGGCGGCCTAACTTTTGCAACCTGAGTTTTCTAGACCACCGGTTTCCTAGGTGTGGTGGCCTAGAAAACTCATCTTTAAAAAGTTAGGCCACCATGTTAAAATCACCCAGAAAACACACCAGGGCCATGCAAGCCATTTCTAGGTCAAAAAATGATGGTGGCCTAGAAAAACCAATTTGCAAAAATTAGGCCACCAAGTCAACACGGCATGGTGTGTTTCCTAGGTCTTTGTGGTGGCCTAAAATTGGTCTTCTTTTCATCTGGTGTGATTTTTAGGTCATTTCGACGTGATGGCCTAGAAATTAGGCCACACTTTATGAATACTTACACTTTCCACATCCTGCTTGTCAAAAGTGTGAATCGATCGGAGGGCAGTTTGAACTTCGGCAAAGTCTCTGGAGTCATTGATAGAAGCAACCTGGAATTTTTTGATTTGCCAGACATCCGGACCAACTGACCCACATACCTTATGAGATTTTCCCTGATTCAAGAAATAGTACTGTTTAGCATCCTTCGCTACTCCAAACTGTCTGAGCAATCCATCATCTCCTCCATTGACCAGTTGGTAGAAGACGTGGAAATTTCGTTCGCCTTCTTGCTGACGGACTACTCGGGACTACAAACTATACATTTAGATTCACCAACCAAAATTCAACTTCTACCTTCTCCAACAAATAATTCGAGATGTTTCCTCCGACCGGATCACCATCGTAGTCAAAATTAATGTGCATGTATTTTCCGAATCTTGACGAATTGTCATTTCGATTCGTTTTCGCACATCCAAACGCCTCCAGAATACAATTCGAGCGCAATAAGACATTCTTAACTCGCTCAATTTCTCCTTGCTGTCTGACGTTTGTAATTGCGGCGAGATATTTCATTATGATCTTGCTGGTTTCCGTTTTTCCGGCTCCCGATTCTCCGGAGATGACGATGCACGAGTCGCGGCCGAATCGCTTCATGGATCTGTATGCGGCGTCGGCGATGGCGAAGACGTGAGGGGCACGCTCGTAAATCTCGCGACCCTGTAAAAATTGTTTTTGTGTCCTGAAATTTTTATTTTTATTTTTCTAGATACCGTAAGCTTTTCAGATAGAAAATCTGTAATATTTGAGCTTCCTAACATAAATTCTACCTATCTTGGTCTCTGTAACAGATTTCAAAAAACAATCAACAGACTCAATTTTTATCATAATATCAGAAATATTTTTTCAGTTGACCGATTTTTGATATCTCTTACAGGAACCGAGAGTGGATGTTATGCTGGATGTTATGTGGATGTTATGCTTGGCGCCACCTCAAACTCAAATTGTCAGAGAAGCGCTCTTCACTTTGGTCTTATTTATCTCGGCTCCTAAAAGAGATATGGAAAAGTAATTAATGCTTATCATAACATCAGTAACATTTTATCAGTTTGCTATTTTCTATATCTTCTACAGTAACCGAGATAAATTGGATTAAAATTGAACAGGTTTTACGGCACCTCTTTCCATTCAAAATGCCCAGAGATGATAACACGAGCTTTGTCTTGGAATCTGTGCATCCAGATGTCCATAACTCACCTTATACTGGTCCACCGTATTCTTTTCATAGATGCCGAGTTGTCTGTATGGATTCACTGCCACCAATACCTCTCCGATATACGTATAAATACGCCCTTTTTGGAATCTGTAAGTAGGTTTGTTTGTCCGGAGGCCCCATCTTTGTGCTTTTGGCGCTTTTAGGGCGCCTAAATGTAGTTTTTGTTTTCCCATATTTCGAAATTTCTATGTCTCATATAATTTCCCTAGTTTTCGAAATTTCGAAATCCGATATCTCTGTGCTCTCTCTTTCTCTTTCTCACACATTTCGAAATGTTGAAGCTCCAAAAGCGTCCTCTCAGAATTGAATTAGAAGCGGCGGGTCGGGTCCCGCGAACATGTTTGAGAGAGGGGTTTTGATGAGTCGATTTGTCAAATTTCGGGTGCCGAGAAAGAGAAGAGAGGAGGGAAATGTCTCTTTTCTGGGATCCCCTTTTTGGGGTGTCCAGGGATAACTGGACTAATGATGCGTGAGCAGATGTTCGGACACACTAAAAGTGACGTGATGCTTTTATGGTGATGATGAGGGGCGAGAGAGAGAGAGAGAAAGAGAGAGAGAGAGAGAAAGAAAGGGAGAGCTCTAATGGTTTTCTGTCTGGGTGGTCAAAGATTGAATGTGTTTTACCCTAATTGAACGGCACACCAACTTTGAGCTCAATTATTTCGGCTCTTATAAGATATACCAAAAATTTGTTAACTAATAAAATTTTTTTCATGATATCATCTACATTTTTCTACATAGTTTACAAAATTTTGATATCTTTTACGGTAATCAAGATATTTAAGCTTGAAAAGTGCAATTATGGGAGTGGCTAAAATTTTTCTGAAAATTGTTCTTTTCCTTTTTCGTGCCTTTTTTCCTTTTTTGTGCCTTTTTAGTTCGTCTCTCCAAATGTTTAATTCAATAAAAAAATTTTGGCCATTACTATCGAAAAAATGTAAAAAATTTCCAATTTCTTGGAACGGCACAATTTTCTCATTCCTTATGAATTTTATGAATTTTTGAGTGACTCAACACAGGAAATTTTTTTAAGTCCTTGAAATTTTCAGGAAGTAGTTGTTTGACAATTAAATGGGTTATTAAAATGCATGTCATACAATTTTCAATAGTTTGAAACTCTTTGAAAAGTTGCAGCTTTAGATACACGATGTCCACTACTTCTCCGCGTCTCTCTCAATGCGTACTATTTTTATCAAAAATCGATAGTTATCAATATGTAAATTTTTATAAGTTACATTTTTCTAGTTGACAGTTTTTTGATAGCTCTCTTAGCTTTAGAGCTATGCGCCTTAAAGCTAGCTACCCCTCTATTTCAGGCTTCCTTTCTTTCTCTGCGTCTATCTCTCTAACCATAACAGGTATCAAAAACCTGTCAACTAATGAAATGTATGAAATTTTATGCTCTACATTTTTGTAATTGACACTTTTTGAAAATCTTTATTGGTTCTCGAGAAAAATTTATATTTCAGGTGATGGAGACATATTGGTGCTCATTTCAAACTGGACGATTGGACAACAAGTTCTCAAAACTTTCTAATGATTTTCTTGTTCAAAGATCTCCACTAAGTTTCAACTTTCAAAGACAAGCTTTCTCCTCTTTCCAACATACAATATCCGCTACTTCTACGCCCCCATTATCCGGCTGTATAAAGCGCAGTTGGGGTGGTATATGACCGTTTCTTCTTTTGCTAGTAAAGAAAAATAGATGCAAAGAAGTCGACTTTTCAAATAAATTTTCAAAGAAAACACTGATTTATTCATTAGGGGACGGAGGGAGGAAGAAAAAGAGGGATGGCGCCCAAGGGACGAACGAAATCGAGGAACCTATTAATGATGCCACGTCATCGGAAGGGACGGAAACAGATGGCGTGACGAATGAGAAGGTCAAGAGAGAGGGGATAACAACGGAAGTAGGAAGGGTTCAAAGATTATGGGAATTACTGAAAGGACAAGAGGAATCTTTTTTTCTTAAGTTATATTTTTGCACTTTTCAGTGGGAAATAGTCTTTTTTTGGAGTCCTAAAAATCAATTTCCGAATTTTCCTATTTGCCTGAAAATTTCAGAATATACTAAACAAAAATAGAGCTTCATTTTTGTAATTGACATTTTTTTGTAGCCTTTTAAGGCTTTGAGATACGCGCCTTTGAAAATGAAGATCGCAACAATTCAAGGAAGAAAGAGGGGAGAGGATTTTTAAAGACGCACATCTCAAAAACTAAAAAAGCTACAAAAAAGTTGTCAATTACAAAAGTAAAGCTCTATTTTTGTTTAGTATACACTGAAATTTTCAAACAAATTGAAAAATTTTGGATCTATTCTTTATTAGCCCAAAGTTGGCTATTATCATCTGGAAAATTCGAAATATAATATTTTTATGGTTTTTTTGAGCCGAATTTCTTAAACAAAAAAAAATTGCTCACCTGATTTGCAAATTCTGGACCACACTTTTCAAATCAATCGTCGATAAAAGAACCAAGTCTTCGACTCCGTACCCTTTCGGGTCGTGTCCGCCATATGACATTTTTGGATGGCTGGAAAAATTTTCAGATTGAAAAAAATTCAAGAAAAAAAGGAAGAGGAAAATAATGCTATATTTTCAAAACATATATTCAAAATTGAAGACCATTTTAAAAGGAAAAATATATAGGAATGTGAAAAAAAAAGAGAAACTTGGAAGGGAAGGCTCCGAAATTTCTCAGAAAAAAGTTCCAAAAACTTTGAGCCCATACATCTGATTTTTTGTGAGAGATATCAGAAAGTGGTAAACTAATAAAATATTTATCATAATATGACAAATATTTTATTAATTGACACTTTTTGATATCCCTTACAGTAACCAAGATAAAATAGGTCGAAGATAAAGGTGTGGAAAATGCAAATTTAGCTCCTATGAATTTAAAATAAAGTCTTTGGATTAAAACATTTATGAAATCTATCCATTCAGATTTCAGAAAATTTTCAAGAAGTGAAAAAAGCGAAAAAGGAAAAAAAAACTTCTCAGACTCCGCCCCTTCAAGAATAATGAAATCGGGCTCCAAGAGTCAGAGCACAGAATTTCGAAATTCAAAAAAAGTGCTTCCTAGTATTTCGAAAGCTGAGAAATGTCAAATTTTAAAAGATCAATCCTACTTTTGAATGTTACTGTACCTGAATATTTCTGGTAGCATCTGGTTAGATGTGCAGGTACAGTAACCCCCAAAAAACCAAAATTCACAAGATCAAAAACTCCCGTTATTCCACTCTCTGTTAGGATGGTGGTGGCGAAAACTGCCATTCTTCTCACCATCTCCTCCCGGTTTCCCACTAGATAGTGTTGTCCCCAAGGAGACGCAGGCATCCCCCAGACTCCGCCCACTTTCTAGGCTTCTCGCTCCCTCGGGGGGTAACCCGAACCCGCCTCATTTCCGAACGCAAGAAGCGAGAGAGTATGGTAGCCATGAGAGACGCAGAGACTTGGTTTTCAACCGGTCACTCTCTCTCCCTCTCTCCATCTTCTTCCAAGAACAGCCTCATTAATTCTACGACGCGTCACACTATGGCGCCAGGAGGCAAAACTCCGAGTGCGTGAATTGGAGAGAGTGTTAGAGAGGCAGAGAAAAACAGTTTGGGAGCAAACGGAAAACATACGGTCTGTGAGCACAAGGCAAGAATACCCGCGCACCACACATTTTCTCGCCCATCGTAGTATCAGTTTTGAAGAGGGGTCTCAAGCTAAGCAAATATTTTTGAACTATCACTACTCTCTCCACGTGGCGATATCTTATTTAGAGATGTCTAGTCTGGGATAGTGTGGTCAAGAGTCTTGAATTTTGATCTAAACTTTTCGAAATCTTCATTTGGAGATGTAAAGTCTGTGGTCTAGACCTTGTTAGCCTAGAAAAAGGAGCTCAAGGTTTCAGGAGAAGATTGCAAATTGAAAATTTTGGAAGATCGGAAAATTGGTAACTGATAATTCTAGAAAAAATTCTCTGAAATAAAATTTCGGGTACATTTTTAGACTATTGGTTGAGTCTAATTTTCTATTTAATGTGGACATTTTGAGATTTTGAATTTCCAATTTTTTTTCCTTCGAAATTGCTTCAAACATGGCAACACAGTAATAGGAGGGCCTCCCAACGTTGACCCAATTTATCTCAGTTCTTGTCAGAGATATCCAAAAGTAATCTACGAATAAAATGTTTATCATAATATGAAAAATATTTTGTTAGTGAACTATTTTTTGATCTCTTTTCTAGGAAGAGAGATAAATTTGGTCAAATAGACGCTATTGGAGTTCATCAATGACAGGTTTTGTACCACACAGCTTTGACCGAATATATATCGGCTCCTGTTCGAGATATCAAAAAGTGGCCAACTAATGAAATGTTTATCATAATACCAGTAACATTTAATTAGTTGAAAATAGTTCAATATCTTTTACAGAAAGCGAGATAAATTCAGTCAAAGTTAATAGTCTTAAAACTATAATTTTCAAACTAATTTTTTAGGGGAACGTTCAACTTTTAAAGTGTCTCTATACTTTTTTTTCAAAGACGAAATTACATTTTGAACTGAAAATTGTGATTTCAGGACCATGAGAAAATATCAAGTATATAATTTGAAAAGGATTTTTCAAATCAAGAACCTTCCATTTCATAAAATGTAAAACCTAATTTTCATTTTATGGAGTTTTTGTATTACAGGTTGGTTTTATTATAAATTCACTAAAATGTACTTGCAGAAAAAAAAGAGTAAATTCAAAAAGATGTTTTAAACTAATTTTCGATTTTTGTGAAAATTTAGTATGGAATAATATGAAATAATTAGAATTTCTTTAAAAAAAAACTTTTTCTTAATTTCAGTTTCAGAATATTGATGATAATCCGTTGAAGAGCTAAAAATTCAAAATTGAAAGTTTGGAAAATTCAATTTAATGTTAATTTTTTTCAAAGTTTAGAAATTTCAAAAAATCTCAATTGAATCATCAACTAAGTAAAATTTATCAGCCAATTTATTCTATGACTTTTGCAGCACACGAAATTTCAAAATCTCCTTCTCCTTTTATAAACCGAAAAAAAGGAAAAAATGCCAAAAAAGGAGACAAAAAGCAAACAAGAAATTGTCCCAATGACTCATTATTTTCCTTTTGAAATTTCAAATATAATACCCTCCTCCTACTTGAATTTTTTTTCCATTTTTGGCAATTCTCATTTCTGGTCCTTGACCTAAATTTTAGTTTTTCCATTTTCCGAAAAAAAAATAATTCTGTTCTTTTTCGGAGAAAAGGGGATTGATAGTGAGTATAGTAGGATTATGAGGAAAGAGCATTTTTCGCCGAAAAAGAGGCGAAAAAAAAGTTTCGGTGTTTAAAAAAGGCGTGGTTTTTGTGTTGTAGTATGTACAGAAATGGAAAAAAATTTAGGAGAGGCGAGAGAAGAGTGAAAAATGGAGGAAAAAGATAACAAGAAGAAGAAGGAAAAGTGTAGAAAATATTTGTTCGGTGACTATTAGTTTACTCGGGTATGAGGAGATTATAATTTATAATGGATTTGTCATTCCTTAGAACGTAGGAAATTATTGAAAAAAAATGTTTTGAATCAAAAATGATCCTTCTACCAAAAGGCACTATCAACAAGACCATTTATCTCGGTTACTGTAAGTGATATCAAAAAAGTGATTAACTGACAAAATGTTTATCATTTCATAAGCAATATTTTGTTTTTTGAAAATTTTTGATTACTTTTCTAAGAAGCAAGATAAATTTTGTCAAATTGAAGAGATCTATCTGCCGCAGACTCGGCTGGGCATCTCAACTTTGAGTCTATTTATCTCGTTTTCTGTAAGAGATACCAAAAAGTAATCAACTGATAAAATGCTCGTCATAATTTCAAAAATATTTTGTCAATGAACTACTTTTTGATATCACTTACAGTAACCCCTAAACATTAGGACAAAGTGGGCGGGAAATGCTCTGGAGAACTTCAATTTTTTTGATAATCCAGAGAAGATGACAAAATGTTGATTTGAAAAAGAGGGGACAAACAACTTTCTTTTGGCAAAATGACTAAAAATTTAAACTGATAAGAGCCCAAATCATGAAATTAATGAGTATTTGGCACATAAAAACCGAGTCAATGACTATATAGCGTGTCTCGTTTTATTGACTTTTAGGAGAGAGACTAAATAGGGAAAAGGAATTGGAGGGGTGGTCTCCAAACAACAAGAGAGACCGTATTAGGCAACTGACGGATCGGCGGGAGAAAAGGAAATGAGCGGATGAAACTGCTAGGGAAACTTGACACATATGTTTCTTTTGGGGACAATTTTCAATCCCTAACTGTATGAATCAACTCACTTTTCATAAAATGATTTATGATGTGTAGAGGTCATTGTCTTTGACCAAATTTATCTAGGTTCCCGAGAGAGATATCAAAATGTAATCAACTAACAAAATATTGTTGATGTTATAATAAACATTTTATCAGTTGACAACTTTCTGATATTTTTACGGGAATTGAGATAAATTGGGTCAAAGTTAACAGTGTTTTTCGGTAGAAAGACCGATTTTTTGCAATTTTCAAGAACAAAAATAACTGGATTTTGACTCTGAACAATTTTTAAAGTTTTACTTCATTTTTGATTTTTTTTTCTACGGGTTTTTTATAGGTTTTGCTTTCTTTTAAACTAGATCAAAAATCCTCTAAATGATTCACAAAATTAAAAAATAATGAACAATAAAACAAAATTTCCTATGAAAATGAGAGAACATTTTGTCCGAAAAAATTACATTTCACAAGAAACAAAATGTTCTAAATCTTCACACATATTTCAAGAGGAACATGTTCCGTATTATTTTCAAGTAGCCATCATCACCATCTTCTAAATTTCCCAATACAATAAAAAACCAACAAAAAAGGGAATTTTCTATCGCCGAAATTTCGAAAACTATCTGATAAATAGAAGAAGGAAAAATGTCCGGACAAGTGAGACATTTCGGATCCGGTCTCCTGGTTTTTGTGAATGGAAAAAAGAAAACATTGGGGAAATATATTTCGGAGACGAAGAAATGGCCGGAGAGAAGAAGAGACAGGGAAATTTCGGAACGGATTAAGCAAAGTCATATATAGAGATTAATAGTATAGGGGAAATAGAAGAAGTAGTAAATGTTGATTTTCTGCTTTGATTACATAATTTAACCAATTTCCGATTCAACATTGAAGCAAAAAATTGCTTCTAACTTTTTGAACTTTTTTGTGTTTCAAATTTCAAAATGTGGAAACCCTCCATATTTTTGCAAATGTCAATTTTTTCTAAAATACTAAAATTCTGAAAGTTTGATATTATAAAAATTTGAAATCCTGAACATTTGAAGTGCTGAAATTTAAGATTTCTGAAATTCTGAGATTCTGAGATTTTGAGATTCTGAGATTTTGAGATTCTGAGATTCTGAGATTCTGAGATTCTGAGATTCTGAGATTCTGAGATTCTAAAATTCTAAAATTCTAAAATTCTAAAATTCTATTAGGTTGTCCGGAAAGTAATCGATATTTTTTAAGCAAAAATTTTATACATTCTTACCGATCGATTTTCGTTTTCTTTTTTTTTGTTTTGACAATCGTCAACTCATGCTCAATGAAAATTGTCAGTTTGTTTCAAAAAATCTCAGTCCATGGCCGAGAGCCTCACCATCAAAACCTATGATGTTTGAGGCTGTCTTTTTTTCGGGTTTCTCCAAGGAGAATCCGTTGTCGCTGCTTATCGAAAAACATGCTCCGTAGTTGGTGACAAGCCACTTTAGTATACTGTATTGCGACTTCGGCTCAATCGCCTTTGGAACGGCAATTATTCACTTGAAGGCAAACCAACCCATTTTCAAGTTTCGATGCCCATATCCAGAAAGGGCTGGAAGCTGAGCCGAGACTCACTGTTCGTGAAGTGGCTTCTACTCTCGGTCTACCTACTATAATAACATTTCATGATTGTCGAAGTCCGGACACAGAGAAAATTATGGTCAACTGGTGCCACACCATTTCAGTGATTCCAGGTTAAAACTAGTTGTGACTGGAGTTGGTCTTCGCTCACTCGTAAACGAACATTCGGTGGGATCCATTATCTTGTGAAACTATAAAGGGTGTCTGTAGGTTAAAGAAAACCGAAAGCGTCAGTAGGTCAAGGTTTGCCAAACTCCAGGAATCAATCACAAAAGGGAAATTCGTGAAAAAAGGGAGATGTTGATCATTTGGTGGAATTTCGACGTGTGATCTTCTGAGAGATTTCTCCCAATTGTGCGACCGTTACAACGGAGAAGTACTGTCACCAACTGTAAAAAGTATTCAATGCGTATCGTGCTCTACGCTAGAAGCGGACACATTTGTTTTGCTTCGCGATAATGCGCACCTGCACACGACTTTGGCCACCCGTCAAAAAATTCAGGATTTAGATATCAAAATACTCGGTTACTCATCATATAGTCCAGACCTCGCTCTAACAGAATTTTATTTACTGAGCTCGCTTCAGAATGGTTAACATGGCAAGAACTTCGATAGAAGATCGGACCTAAAATCGTATATGGATGTCTTCTTCGAGCAGCAGCCACCAGCGTTCTTGGCGAGAGACATTGAGCATCTACCAAAACGTTGGCAGGGTGTGATGGACCATAATGGAATATATATTAATTACTGAAAAGATTTTCCGAATGGATAAACTTCTTCCGAAAATATGTTCAAAAATATCGATTACTTTCCGGACAACTTAATGAAATTCTAAAATTCTAAAATTCAAATTCGAAATTTCCTTAAATCTTCTAAAAATTCGTCAAAGTTTTTTTTATTAATTTCCAGAAAATCCGAATCATTTCTGAAAATCAAAAAACTCAAAAAATTTTTTTTCTGAAAATCGCAAACTTCTTAAAACTTTTCCGAAAATTCCGATTGAAAAACAAAAAAGGTTAAACTTTTAAATTTTTTATTGAGTTTTCAGTTTTTTTTTTCTTCAAATTTTCAATGAATAAAAATTGCAAAACAAATCGGTGGAAAAAAGAAAGAGAGAGTTCCTGGTGAGAAGAAATCCTGGAAAGAGTGAAAATTTCTGTGGGGTGGTGATGTGAAAGGAAAGGATACGGAATTTAAATGAAAAATTGAAACAAAGATTTATAGTACAAAATTGGAATCTAGGTAATCGGAAAAAAGGGGGGATTTAAATTTTTGGGGGGCAAAAAATTGAAAAAAGTTTAAGAGAACATTGAAAAAGTGGTAGAAAACCCGCGTTGGTGTACATGATGAAAGGGATTTTGAAATTATGAAAAAAAAACAGTTTGGGGGTCCGGAAAAAATTAGAGATCACGAAATTAGAAAAAAAAAAAGTAAAATCATCCTATACTATTAAATTTGGAGTTCTAGCCGGAAGAAAAAATGGAAAGATATGGGAATTGGAAAATAGTAATTTTTGAAAATTCCAAAAAAAAAAACAGTTTTTTGAAATACCGGGGACGCTAAAATTGTGGTTTTTTGAGGCACTCGGAAAGGAGATCCCTGAGAAATCGGAAATAAATTTTTTAAAAAGAATCAGGAGTAAAAGGAGATGGCACCGGGGAGATTGGACCCATAGATCCTTCGAGAAGCTTCCACGTGGATCTAGGTAGATCAAAAATCACAAAATCGTGTCGGATTCCTGAGTAGGCGTCGGAGGTTCGTGGGAAGATAATCTGGATACTCTCATATCTTCGACGACTCCACCACCACCACCATTCGGAAGACGAATTGCTGAGGAGATGTAGTTGTTTGGCCGATGACGTGGATATTGGACGTCGCCTGAAACTTTGAAAACTAAAATTTTATATTTTTAAAAAAACATTGAAAAAGATGGAGAGAGAGAGAGTGTGCTGGAATTGTGGATCCGTTTTTTTTTCTAATCGATTTTAAGCTTTTGGTGAAAAGTTCAGAATTGCCGTAAAATGCTAAAAGTGTCTCAAAAATGCCTAGTTTTTTAAAGTTTCGTCAGAATTCCAGAAAAATTTATAAATCCAAAAAAAATTCTTCCGAAATCTGCTGAAAATTTTCAAACTTTTTTGGTTAAAAACTCTGAAAATTCCAAAAATCGTTGAAGATTTAGAATTGCAAACATGTCTCGAAAAATCTTCAAACTAAATAATTTTCTCTAAAACTTTCAAAATCTCCAAAAAAATTTGTTTAAAATCTCAAAGTTCCAAACTTTTTCAAAAACTACAAAATCTTTAAAAATTAAAAAAAAATTCTCAAATTTTATATATTCCCTTAAAAAATCAATTTTCTAAAATTTCTCAAAAATTTAGTAAATTTCAGAAAATCCGGAAGTTCCGATATTTTCAAGCAGTTCTCATTTTCAAAAATCATCAAAAAATCAAAAATTCCTAAAATTTTTAGAAAATTCTGAAAATCCCTAAATCTTAGAAAATTCTGAAAATTCTCAATTTTACGAAATTTTCCAATTTTCTAAAGTTCAAATTTTCAAATGTTACGAAATTACTCAACAATTCAAACTTTCGAAACATTTTTCGAAAATTCGGAACATTAAAAAAAATCTCAGGAAACCTTAAAAATTCCGAAAAGTTTGAAATTCCAAATTTTAAAATGTTTCGAAAACTATCAAAATATCCAAAAAGTTTGATTTTCGAGCAATCAGAGCTTATCCAGTTTTTCGTATTTTCTAACAGGGTTTCCCTAGAATTGAAAATTCCTGAATGTATAATTTTCAAAAAACCTCCACAATTCCATTCCCTATCTCCAATATCTCCAGAGGAAACCAAAAAAAAAAAAATTAAAAATCATTCCATATAAAAAAGATATTTTAAAAAAGAAGAAAACCAAAAAAAAAAAGAAACTTGTCCAAATATCCATATCAATATCATATCGGTCCCAATCGTGCAAGGCTCGATTGTTATCGCATAACCACACACACATTCCACTTTTCTTTTCACCAAAATAGTATCTACCGTAGGTGCCCTACTAAAACCCATATATCTCGATTCCTATAAAAGACACTAAAAAAGAGCCAACTGATAAAATGTTGGTGATATTATGACAAGCATTTTGCCATTTGACCAATCTTTGATATCTTTTACAGGAGTTGAGATAATTGAGTTTTTCGAGCTTGGTAGGGAGATGAGTACTGAAACGAAGGATAATGAAAAAGGAGCTAGAGGTTTACGGGAGAGGAAAACTACAGTAACCATTTGAGAATTTGTGTCGACGACAACTATTACAAAAACCAAATAATAATAATAATCAGAAGTTGTGGACAATGACTGTTAGGTGAGTGATTTTGGGTGTTTGGTGAGAGGAACTGAATTTACATATACTAGTGAGGGTTGTTATTTAAAAAAAAACTATTAAAAAATATTTTGAAAAATTACTGTACCTCTAACAGCTCAAGACAAAAATACGTTTGAAATTTTTCAGTAATTCTTACAGCTAGAAACATGAGACGCAGAGAAACGAGTCGCTCTAACTCCTCAGCGACTCTCTTGGAAAAGGAGGATCGCCGGTACACCATTACTGTGACCTAATTTATCTTGGTTCTTGTAAAAGATATCAAAAAGTGGTTAACTAACAAAATATTTGTCTTAATATCAGTAACAATTTATCTGTTGATTTCTTTTTGATATCTGTTACAGTAACCGAGATAAATTGGGCCAAAGTAGAAAAATCGGCTCATTTCAAAAAATCGTTTTCTTTTTGCATTTTTCAGAAAGTTTAATCTATGAATCTAAAAAATGGATTCGATGAAATAAAATTTTTTGTGGAAATTTTCAAAAAAGTAAAAATTATTAATTTAGAAGAATCACACAGCAAAAACACGAAGATGTTTGTTTTACGACGACCACTATCTGATTATTACAATATTTAGGAAAAAAAAGAATCACACATTCCGAATAAAAATCCTAATTATCTCATTTCAGGGGAGTTTCTAAAGATTTTTTTCTAGAAATAAAAAAAAGGAAAAATTATTTAAAGGGATTAGTTTTTTTCGAATACTACCAGGGTGAAATGACATGGTGTGATATGTGTATATGGATGCGGATAACGAACCTCTCCGAATCGATTAATATTGATTGAATTCTGGATCAGCGGAATCATCACCGCCTACCTTCATTCGATGATCCGTTGTTTCGAGCCATTGCCTGATCTTTTACCAGCTTGATGAGTGTCTCCATGTCGCTGTTGAACTTGTTTTGCATTCGCTCGATTTGGCTGGAAATTCAAATTTCTGTTAGTTTTGGTTTATAGCACTTTGTAGATCTCGTCAAATTCTATACATTACAGCTTAATTTACATTGAAACTCCAAGTTTCAACCGAGCTATGCATCGGCTCGTTTGATTAATATGCTCCTCTCCGTACTTGTTCTTTGAGCTCAATTATCTTAGTTCCTATAAGAGATATCAAAAATTCGTCGACTAGTAAAACGTTGATAATATTATGATAGACATTTTATTAGTTGACTATTTTTTGATTTCTATTACGTGAGCCAAGATAATTGAGCTCAAACTTGGGGTCCTTAGCATTGAGCGAGCGCCACCGAGGAGTACCACCTTTGACTTGAATTATCTCGGTTCCTGTAGGAGATATCAAAAAGTGCTCAATTAACCAAATGTTTATCATAATAATATATTAATTTTATTGGTTGACTACTTCTTGATATCTCTACCAGGAAGCGAGATAATTAAGCTCAAATGCGCAGGAAAAAATCCTACCTCTCGATATTTTCAAGCCTCCTCGTGAACATGTACGACGTCCTTCGATCTTCATATTCGTTTGATCGGTCTGAAATTTAGAAGTTTATGATCTTAGTTTTTCGTTTATTTTGAGGAAGAATTCTGAAACATTAATAGATCAAAAAAGTTGGAAATTTGAAGTATAAATCTATTACTTTTTTCGGTTTCGAAAAATTTCGACAAAAAAGTTTCAGAAATTTGGATTTTTAAAGATTCAGGTACGATTTCTGATTATTAAACAGACGCACAAATTTAAATTTCTCTAAATCTCAAGGATGTTACCGTAAATCGCTTTAATAGAACACGACCCATATACCGTAAAAGAATGCCCCACAACCTGCCAACTTTGAGCTCACATGTCTCATTTCTTGTGAGAGATATCGAAAAGTGGCCAATTGGCAAAATTTTGTTGACATTATGACTAACATTTTATTAGTGGTCATAATTTTCATAGCTCTTATAGAAATTGAGATACCGTATTTCCTCTAATAGAAGCCCATCTCTATTTGAAGACCACCTCTAATAGAAGCCCACCCTGGCTGTGCAGTTTTCTTCTTGGCCATTGCAGAAATATTCTTTGTTTTGCGGATTTTCTGTTGCTTTATGCTAATTCTTGTCGTTTAAAAAATATACGTGTTCTGTTCATAATTGAAAACCATATAATTTGAGCCGTTTTTCTAATAGAATTTCATTCTGAGAAAGAGGTTGAAAAATAGAAACCCATAATCTTCTATTAGAGGAAATACGGTAAATGGGATCACAGTTTAGAGGTAAGCGGGTAATTCTAATCTGTACGGTACTTCTACTTTGAGCCTTTTTACCTTGGTTCCTATAAGAGATATCAAAAATTTGACAGCTAATAAAATGTAGGGGATAGTATGATAAATGTTTCATCAGTTATCAAATTGTTGATATCTCTGATGGGAGTCGAGATAATTGAGCTCGAAGATCATCTGACAAAACGTGGTGCCAAACATGTTAATCAGCGTTTTTTATAGCCACACCATGCCTTTTCTCAAATATTCACACAAAAAAGTAATCATGTCTTCCCAGGTGTCTCACCGCTCAACTGTTGCGATTGTGTTCCATCCATATTATGGATTGCCGTCGTCGGTGACACTGAATGATTTCCGGCGACAGTCGGCGATACCGTAACCGTATTCCCGCGGGCGAATGCTCGAATATCATCGAAAAGCGCGTCGTCTTCTTCGTGCTGGACGACGGGTCGACGCAGTAGCGGAGTGGCTTCCGATCGGGTTGCGGTCAGAGCAGCGTGTGGGGGTGAGCATCGCGATGAGCCTGTGTTAGTGGGTGTTGGGGGAAAGGATAACATAGGGGAAGAGAGTAGGCGAAAGCGGGGTTGATTGGTTGGGTTGGTGGAAGTAAAATTCAGCAAAAATTTAAATTTCATAAACAAAAACTCACTCCTAGATCCGGCACTTTGCCTCCTATCGATAGGATTCGAGTCGCATCTTGACACCGACTCGGCACTTCGTCTCACCGCTCCAGTTGTCCTACTCTCACCATCCGGTGGTGTTGTATGCCTGTCTTTGTTCAACGACGACGACATTCTGAGCAGTTTATGGCGGTCGAACTTTTTTCGTAAGCTCTGAGCATCATCGCGGAGGTTGTAGGTGATGGTGAGGTTTTTGCAGAACGTTTCCGCAAATTCTGGATACATGTCGAGCACGTCGAGGAGGTCGTCTCTGAAATTTCAGAATTGATTTGAATATAAGAACATGAACAGAAGAGATAATACCTCAATATCTTATGAAGATCACAATTGGTGAGCGCTCTCACATTGCACGACGACTTGCCCACTTCATCATAGAGAAGCGGATTCTCTCCGAAGATGTCGTCCTTGCCGAGCACGCCCATCACATTGTTGTCATCGTTCAGAATCTCGACACTGCCTCGAGCGATGAAATAGAGGCCGGTTAGAATGTCGCCACGATGTACGAGGGTGTCTCCAGGCGGTGAGTGTGTGGTGCGAAACCTGGAAATTAGAGTTTTGGGCTCTGCCTTTATTTTGACGCTAGGTGGATGACCTTGATATTCAGAAGCTAATGCAAAAATGTCTTCAGCAAGGGACTCTTCAATTCTCAAAATTTGAATTCACTATACTTTTCAACCTGACCAATCCGGATCAAAGATGCCCCGGAGCCACTTGTTCACTTTTAAAGGTGCAAAACTCGGCTCATAATTTAAGTTTCTATTTGAATTAGAAAGTAAAACGTAGAACTTTTAAAGCTTTACAAAATGATGTTAAATTCCACCACATTTGAATCTTGAGTTTTGCACCTGGGGTCGCAAGCGCTACCCGAGCGCTAGATTTGACGACCGTGATGTTTCACGACGTCTTGTTCAGGACTCAAAACTCGAAAATATTCAATTCTGATATAACTTTGTTAATTTTTTTTTAGTTCTTCATTTTACAAAAATTCCAAGTTTCAGCTGAGTATTGCGCGGCCGCGTAGTGGGTGCTGGGTTGACGCCCATGAGGTCGGCGCCCACGGGTGCCGATTTCGCCCACCCGCCATTTCCCTATCTTTGAGCAGACAAATATAGTCAAATATAATATCATTATGTAGATCTTGTCAAGTCCTACGTTTTACTTTTTGACTTAAACAAAAATGCTGAGTTCTAACCGAGTTATGCTCCGTTAAACTTTTACCTCATCGACAACGCTCTCAAACACCCAGGCGTACTCCCTGCGAACGCTGCACAGCCGCTCAACAGATTTCGATTCAAATGTAAACAAATATCAGCCTGCAGACAGTCGGGAAACCCCTTCAGCACCAGATTCATATCGATTCCGTTGGTATAAGCCCACGCGTGTTGGAAATAGTCCTCGAGCCGTTGTCGTAGAGGGTTGGGAATCTACAAAATGGGATGTACAGTTCATTTTGTTTTTCTGGTACCTGATGAAATCTGATAAACTCTCTGAGCCTCGACATTTCTGTATGGTATCGTGCAGTTCCAGAGTACAACCTTTGAATGATCGCAGACACATTTCCGAACACCGACGCATACATCAAAGATCCCAATATCATCATTATAATTGTGAATATCTTTTCAGAGTCTGTCGTCGCCGATACATTACCAAAACCGATGGATGTGATTGTGGATAGTGTGAAGTATAAGGATGTGACATATCGAGATTTTAACGTCGGACCTCCGGTGGGTACTGTTCCATTTGTTGATGTATAGGGTTGGGTTACTTGTTTAGCTGGAAAAAATAATTTTGGAGATGGGAAAGAGCTAGATGCTTGATATCAAACGAAATGCTTTAAAAATTGCTATCGACTGATCTAAAAGACTTTGCTCTAGCTCTACTGGCCCCGCCAAAACTTTTTTAAAATTTTGTCCTGACAGAGACGCAGAGAAACGAGACACGGTGACTTCTCTGCGTTTTTCTCGCGCGCGTATCGAGGACACCTAAGTTTGAGCTCAATTATCTTGGTTACTATAAGAGATTTCCAAAATCTATTAACTGATAAAATGTTTGTTATAATACTACCTACATTTTATCAGTCGACAATTTTTTGATATCTCTCACAAAAAATGAGATATATCGGTTCGAATTGCAGGTATAAGGTATCCCATAAGGCGAAGCATAACTCGGTTCGAACTTGGAGTTTTTGTATGAATCAAAATGTAGATTGTAGAATTTTATAAGATCTTTAGAATGATATACAATTCAACTAAATTTGAATTTTGATCTTCGAACCAGAAGCCGAAGAGCCGAGTCTGCGAAATCGGCCCCAATAAGCGATAGCCTGGTTCAAGTTTTCTGGTTCATATGAACGCAAATTGAACATAGTTGGATCAGGTATCATTTTGTAGATCTTATCAAGTTTTTATTTTTGATTCAAACAGAAATTCTAAGCTTGAATCTAGTTATGCGCCGGCGAGTGGTCGGTCCGTTTGACAAGTATGAGCTACGTTATACTTGCACTTTGAGCTCAATTATCTCGCCTCCCATGAAAGATGTCAAAAATTTAATTTTTGATGAAACGTTTATCATAATGTCACCAATAAATAAATCTAATATTTTATCAGTTTACAAATTCTTGATATCTCTCGTAGGAATCGAGATAATTGAGCTCAAAGCGCCCATATAGGGTGGACTTCTCTTTGAGTATTTACGATATGCTTTTCTTGAACTTTTGATCAGATTTAATTTTTTTTCGAAAACCTTTAGACAGATCACAACTGGAAATCAGTCATCTGAAAAATATATTTTAAAAAAACTTACAAAGCTGATGCAGCCATGTGTACTCTTTGTGTGATAATTCTGCACTACCAATTGCATACCTAAAAAGTTTTCGTTATAAATCGTTTAATACCCTCCTAACTTGAATCCAATTTATCTCCTTTTTCGTCAAAGATATGAAAGCGGTGTCAACTGATAGAATGTTTATCATAATATCACAAACATTTTATCAGTTGACAAATTTCTGATATCTTTCACAGGAATCGAGATAAGTTGGTTCAAACAGAATAACCTACCATATACACGCCAACCAATGTGCTATCAATGCGAACGTCGCCATGAGAAGTAGAAGAACGGCGGCACCGTATTCAGAATACCTATCCAGTTTTCTCGCGACCCGTACCAATCGTAATAAGCGAGCAGTTTTCAGCAACCCGATTAGTGTTGTTGTCTGAATGAATGAATAAAACGTCAATAATTTTTTGCTTTGCTTCTTCTTTTTTGTGCTCCTGAAGGAGAAGATTTATTCGAGTGGAGACGCAGAGAAACCTGACTTTTGTTTTTCTGCACTCTGCTTATTGTGTCTCGTTAATTTATGGGTCATAAATATCCCAAAGTTAAGAGTGGGAATTTCGGAAAACTTAATGTTCTGAAGCAATTCTCAAAAGTCTCAAAAATTCCAAAAATTCTCAAAACTTAAAAAGATGTCTTCAAAAAATCCGGGAATCTAGGAATCCAGGAATCTAGGTATCCAGGAATCCAGGTAATTGGGAATCCAGGAATCCAGGAATCTAAGAATCTAGGAATTTAGGATTCCAAGAATTCAAGAATCCATAAATTCTCAACGCGCCCTTCTATTAGAGGTTTCAAAAGTCGTCACCTCATCACTGTTGGTGCTGACGAGTAGCAAATCAAACGGCACTGCGGCGACCATATCAATGATGAACCATCCTTTGAAGTAGTGCGTCGCAATTTTTCCCGGATGAGAAACGACCTAAAAATAGTTCATTACCAAGGGTGTCAAGTTCCAAAATACTCTTACCTCCTCATTCTCATTGACATAGGTGGTGCGAAAATTAATAATAATATCAACAATAAACATGATATCAACAATCAGGTCGACAATCTCCAACGGTTCCGTAAATCGCGACTTCTTCGTCGTGTCCTGCAGTTCACGAAGGAGAAACGCGGCGACGTACGGTGTGAAGATGGCCGTGTAGATGACGAGCAACAGAATTATCCAATCCCACACTGCTTTGAACGGGCTGCAAAACAATTTTCATTTAAATGTTTTTTTTTGGAGTTTGGAGGCGTATACCTCCGCCCAAACATGGAATTTCTGCTCGATTCAAAAACTAAAATACAGTACTTAATAATACCTACAGAATGATATTAAATTGGACTATACTGAAATGGCTATTTTAACTCAGAAAAGGTTAAAAGTGGCTAGGCAATATCAGGACCAGGAGGCGGCTTCGTTGGCACCCATTACCCGCCGACGCATAACTCAGCTCAAACAGGGAAATTCTGATCAAATAAAAAAGTAACATATAGAACTCATTAAGATCTACGAACTGGTTCTAAATTCATCTGCATTTGAATTTTGAGTTTTGCGCCAGAGGTAGCAAGTGTTACCAGAGCCAATTTTAACAACCTTATTATTTAGCGGCACCTGGTTCAAGACTCAAAGAACAAACATAGCTAAATTTAACACAGTTTTGTAGATCTTGTCAAGTTCTACATTTCGATATATAATTCGCACTGAAGTTCCAAATTTGAGCCGAGTTATGCGCCAGCGGGTAGTGAGGACCGGGCAGGTCGGCGGGACCAGGTGTCCATTTTGCCTACCCGCTTTTTCGCCACATCTGAGTCAAAACTAGGCATTTGAATTCGGTCGAATTTAATATTTTCTTGTAGATCTCTTTAAACTTTACATATTAATATTATTCTTGTTCAAAAACTCTGAGTTTGAGCCGAATTATGCGTCGGCGCGTAGAGGGTGCCGAGTTGGTGCCTCTGAGGCGACATCTGACATTCAAATCCAGTCAAATTTACTATTATTCTCTATATCTCTTCTAATTCTATTTTTCACTTTTTGATTCGAACAGAAATTCCAATTTTGAGTCGAATTACGGTATAAATAGCTAACCTATCATTTTTCCGCCTAAGCACTCTTCTTTTCTGTAGTATTTCAGCTAACATAATGTTTCCAGTAAAAAATAAGAATGAGTAAAAAGTAGAGGCTGATAAAAAGCTTTTTTCTGAATCACCTGACATTCATTTTTTCATGCACCAACTGGTTTCAGCCGCGAGCGCGCAGCTAATCAGGCAGAGATCTTATCAAAAATGTCTCTTCTTGTTAGACTAACCAAAAAGTTTTCAGTTCGTCGCACTTTTTATGAGAAAATCAATAGTCACAAGGGGCACCAGCTAGACTACCATGATAAAACTGGGCTTTTTGGGGTCCAAAAATCGCGCCACTTCTAGAAATCGGTCCACAAGCTCGACTTCACTAGGGGTTCAAATAAGAGTTATTTCTATGTGCGTTTAAAGGTTTAGGCTCTTCTGATAGAGGTTACACTCACCTATAATGTACAATTGTGCAGTGGTGTACCCGAGCCTGCTGCAGTTTGTACTCTGGCAGTACATCGGCGCCAAGTGATAGAACCTGAAAATTTTGGAATTTAAAAATTATAATTTTGGGACGGGCCCCCTATTTTTTCTTATGGTTGTCTTTCCCAATTCGACCTACTTACCATTACACTTTTTTAAAAACCTTTATACTCAACCTGACGCCTTCAAAATCAGAATTGAATGGATATATGTGAAAAGAGGGTGAAAACGCGCGGCGCGTGAATAATGTGTAGTTTTGCACCTGCTACGCGGTACATAATAAGATGAAGTCTTTTGATAACAAGCTAGAAATTTTTTCAGCTCTCTTTTGGATTCCCCATACATTTTTCCCATTTATTGTTAAAGATTGCCCTTTAATCAATCTGTTAATCTGAAGCCGGGTCTGGGACGGACCTGGGACGGACCTGGGACGGACCAACGTACCTGGACTCAGAAACGGACCTACACAACCCTGAGGAAGCGGGATTTCTAAAAACTACGACCAATAGGGTTACCGTCGGGGGAGATTTTGCCGCCCGTTCCCACCCGTGGTCCACACAATCAACTTTGAACCCATATAGCTCATTTCCTGTGAGAGAAATTAAAAATCTGTCAACTAATAAATTGTTAATCATAATATTACAAACACTTTATCAGTTGCAACATTTTTGACATCTTTCACAGGAATCGAAATAATTTAGCTTAAACTTGAAAAGATTAACAGAAACTTTAGAAAGTTTTACGGTAACCATGACCAAGTTTTCACCTGATTTTTAGTTTTCGGACATTGTCAATGATCTTAATTATTAAAATTTTTGAATCCTTTTTTTTGCACCTTATACGATCCACTCTGCAGCACGACCATAAGCTGTTTGGCCTGCGACGCGACATTATTTCCGGCGTTTGGAACTTGTGCGGCTTGGGATATCGTTGGATGGTGTTGGATGATGTGATTGTTGGACGATGTCGACATTTAAGTTTTCCAAGATTTTTCAAGACACCCCACTGGTACCTGCTGGCGGGGGCCTCTGCACAGATCACGTCATGGGAGGTACGACGTGCCGGGCACGATGCCGGGGTGGGAACTATAGAATATAGGATTTTTGGGATGTATGAGTTGGAGGGAAAGAATATAAGCAAGAAAAACAGAAGAAAGAGAAAAAGCAAAAATAGAATCTATCCGGGAGCAGAAGAAGTTTTTGTTGGGGACTAACCAGATTAGGGACATCTGACCAAGGTCAATCGAATCTGATGGAAAAAAAAGCAAAGACGAGGATAAAAGTGTGTGTCAGAAGAAGTTAGGTATGCATTTTGACGTGACAGTGTACAGTATTCAGGTGGCACCATAGCTCAGCTGGTAGCGGCGCGGCCTACAAGTTCAACTCCTCTGGGGGAGAAATTTTGAAAATATGTTTTTTAATGTCTCTCCTACTTTGAAATTCATAGAAATCAAACTTCTTGTTATTGCAAAAACTAATTTTTGGCAAATATAGGATTTGGGTCTTTGACTTGGTAGTTTTCGACCAATTTTTGAATCTTTCGTAAAAATTCCGAACACAGTTCAAACTACAGAAAATCAAAAAAAAATTTTTTTTTGGTCAACTTTGACCAATTTTATCTCGGTTCCTGTAGAAGGTATCAAAAAGAGGTCTACTGATAAAATATTACTGATTTTATGATAAATACTTTGTTAGTTGATTACTTTTTGACGTCTCTTACTAGAACCAAGATGAAATGAGCCAAAGACGCTCGGCAGGGCGCCATCTCAAGTTATCCGTGGAGCGCACTTTTCTTTAATTCTGGTTTTTCACTGTTTTTCACTGAGATATTAAAAAGTGGTCAATTGATAAAATATTACTAATCTTATGATAAATATTTTGTTAGTTGATTACTTTTTGATATCTTTTACAGAAGACGAGATAAATTAACTCAAGTCGGTCGATGCGCGAAAAATGCGAAAAATGGTCACAAAGTTAGAGGGCCCTTTTATTACAGGTTTTAGGGTCTTCACTAATAGAATTCCAAGGGACCTTCCAAAAAAAAATCTTGGAACCAATTGAGCCGCAAAAAAACGCTGCTCCAAGGAGCGCCCAGGAGCTCCCCCTCCCTATTTTGTTCGTTTTCGTTTTTTTTTTTCTTCCGGTTTTTTTTTCATAAAAAATGAAAAATAAGGTCCTGCTGGCTGCTGTGTCTGGCAGCAGAAAGGAGCCTTATTCGAAAACATATTAGAAATTGAAAAATGGAGCAAAAAGGGAATGGAGGGAGGGAGGGAGCTCCAAAAAATTTGAATACTTATAGGAATTTTTAAGAGGGGGACAGGGGAACCTTGATGGCTGGAGGGTCAAAAACAAAATTGTTCCGTTCCGTATATATTTGAAATGGCACAAGGGGAGAGGAAAAAGGAAAAGTTAGAAGAACACAGAAATTTGTGTGTGTGTGTGCTTTGAAACATGATGATATCTGGGGATGGGAAGGGAATGGAAAGAAGATATTGGAGACTTAAAGATAGAGACAGAATAAAGGAAGGTCCCATTCGTGTGATGGGGACGGACGGGGCGGGAAGGGGAGCACCCAGCATTAGTATAATGAATTATTCTGCTCACGAAGGCGTAGAAAAAAAGAAAAGCCGATGAGCAGGCTTCAACACGGGACGGAGAAAAGGTTTTTTCTCATCAGTCCTGTGGGAATGCTCGAGCCAGGAGCAGGAGGCAAAAGAAGAAAAATGTGAGAATCAGATTTTTTTTTTTAAATTTTTCGCTTCAGGTTAAATTTTTTGAATAACTGAGGATGTTTTGATTTTATTGCGAGATTCAGAAACTCAGAAATTCAGTAGTTTTAGAAAAATTATAAATTCCAGGAAATTCGGAAGATCAGAAACTAGGAGCATCTAGAAAGAAAGTACACTGTAAATGCTCCGAGAGCTTTATTTTCCTTAGAGCTCAATTATCTAAGCTCCTATAGCAGATATAAAAATTTGTCAACTGATAAAATGTTGCTGATATTATGATAAACATTTTATAAATTGACAAATTTTTTATATTATCTACAGGGGTTAAGATAATTGAGCTAAAAGTGTAATTAACGCCTTTGGGGTTCTTGTCACCACCACCACCCAGGGACTTTAAAAAATCTCATATTTTCAAAATTTTTCGTTTTTTCGAAAATTTAGGTTCTTTTGGCTTTGTGGGGTTTAAGTAGAAGGGGTTAGAAAACTCAATTTTTGCTACTGACTATGAGAAAAATAAAAAATGATACTAGACAAGGAGAGGACTAGAAGTTCGAAAATAAAAGAATCGGATATCTTTTGAGCCTGATAGAACTTTAAGGACTTTGAAATGTTCCAAAAAGACATCAGTGCGAAAAAAAACTTTTAAGTTCATATCAATGAATAATTTATTATCTAAATGAATTGTCTTGAGAAAATGAGCTTGTATCAGCTGGTATCAGAATTTTAAAATGTATCCATTGTTAAGGATCATCAGTTTTGATCACAATTATCTCAATTCATGTGAAAGGTATCAATAATATATCAGCTGATACAATAATACTGATATTATGATAAACATTTTATCAGTTGACCACGTTTTGAAATCCTTTACAGAAATTGAAATAAATTGGTTCGAAGTTGATAGTTAGTGGTTTCAGGGTAACCTTAAATTAGCACTCCTACATGGACTAGGAAATTTTCCTAACCATATCCCAAAATGTAGAGAAACCTAGCCAAAAAAAATCCGAAAAAAATTGATTGTTTACATTGAAAGTGCCTAGTCTGGGGTGGACCAAAAAGTGTTCGTGTCTTGAACAACTCCTCAAAAATACTCATTTCTTCTCTGCGTCTCTCTTTATCTCCCTCAAACCACATAACTAGGATCAGAATGATGGAGTGGAAGAGATTAAATCTGACCATTGTCCATTGTTTGGTTCTTAAGAAGTTTGAAAAGGAGGCTAGGGTGCTGTAAAACCTGTAAGGGCTTCTAACTTTGACCCAATTTATCTTGGTTCATGTGAGAGATATTAAAAAGTGGTCCGCTGATGCAATGATCCTTATTATTCCACAAATATTTTGCAAGTCTTTAAGAAGAACCGATATAAATTCGGTCGAAATCTTGCCTTTAAAAAGCCCGAGGACGGCCGTTATGTGGTTTAGTTTTAGACAAAGTTTAAAAAAAAATCAGAAGATGTAGAAAGAAGAAAACAGGATCTAAGCCAAAGACTATTGTCTGGGTAAAGTGGACCAGGACCGATTATATAACCCCAAAAAGAAGAAAAGTTGTTGGGGATACATACATATACTATGTATATACACCTTTTTTGTGGTCCCACAACTATAAGTGGGGATATCGAATACGGAAAACGGGAATAAAAAATAGGAGAAGAAAGGAAACGATGTGATGACGTGCATTATGATGGGCCGCTTCCAAAAAATGAAAGGAAAGAAACGAAGAAGCAGTATGAAAAGGAGCTATTCTTGGTTTGGTATCGGAATTTGGTTATTTGGGGACGACGAAATTAGCATGGCGTTTTGGAGAGAAAATTGTAAAAGGAAGATATAATGCGCTCTATTGAGGATGGGGGGTTACGGTTCTAGATGTTTCGAGGTGGTTATAAAAAAAAGCAGAAATCGGAAAACTGAATTCTTAAAATTATTTTAAAATTGAAAAACCGGAATCTTGATTTTCGAAAATTCTCAAAAAGCGGAATTCAGAATATCCAGCTGTTTGAATCTTGTTTTCTGAAAATTCCAAATTTCGAACTTCCCTGATTTTTGTAAATGAAAAAATCGGAATTAGAGATTTTTAGATTTTTAAAAATTCGAATTTCCGAACTTTGAATTCCGAAAAATTCAGAAAAATCAAATTTCCAGACTCTCAAAAACAACCAAGAATTCCTAGGCCACCCTGACACCACCAGGTGTCTTTAATTCTCTAATTTGCCTGTCTAAAATCAAATTTTCAACTTAAAAAATGGAATTCTAAGAATGTAAGATCTCCAGGATTCAGAAGACGTGGAAAAAAAGTGAGAATACATCCAGAGGCCGATGCTGTCAACTCCATTGTTTTCCGGCCGACAAAACAGCACGCTTTCTTATTCTTTTCCTTTCTTTTTTGAACTAAATTCAGAACTCCACACCGCGAAATTCAAAAATTCAGATGACGTGACGTGGCAACATACAAAAAAGAACAAGAAAAAAGAAAAGATTTTTTTGGGGATAAGAGAAAAAAGAAAAAGAACCTAGAACCCCTTATCCCTAACAAATACAAATTGCTTGTTTTTTTGTTTTATTTTTTGAGGGTAAACCAAAAAAAATGGAGTGTGCAAGAATTTAGAGAGAGGAGGATACAACTTGTTCGTCGTATCTTCTTTTTCCTCTGAAAGGTATCTTTTTCAGAAGACGTCACGTCTTCTGATGTCTCATGTTATGGAGAAGAGACGACGCCTTCTCCCTCTTCTCGCTTACTAATTACTTGCTTTTTCCATCCCTTTTTGCTCTCTTTCCAGTAGCACAAAAAGGAAAAGAAGAAGAAAAAAGAAATTCGACACTTCTGGAGAAGGCCAGAACACTACCTATTCTGATGGAAAAAAACACCCATACGAGCTTCGGGAGAAAAAAGGCTTTTAAAGTACCCAATTTTTGAGAGAGACCAAAAGTCGAAATTTAAAATACTAAAAAAACTGTTCGGTCGGCGGTCGCTGATATTCGACCGCCTCATAGAGTTAGCCTATATAACAATTCTGAAATTTGGGTTTCTGAATTTCTGAATTTCTGAATTTCTAAATTTCTGAATTTCTGAATTTCTAAATTTCTGAATTTCTGAATTTCTGAATTTCTGAATTTCTGAATTTCTGAATTTCTGAATTTCTGAATTTCTGAATTTCTGAATTCTGAATTTCTGAATTTCTGAATTTCTGAATATCTGAATTTCTGAATTTCTGAATTTCTGAATTTCTGAATTTCTGAATTTCTGAATTTCT